CGTTGTGGAAGGAAAACCAAGTGGTCTTACTCTACCTGCGAGGTTCCTTCCAGCTGCTGCGATATATTCCTTGCGCTGCTTCATATCACAATTGACAGTGACATGTGATTGACGTGACGTCGATCCGCTCTGCCCCGCCGGTTGGTTGGCGAGACCAGGAGCACGTCCGGCCACATCCGAACCATCGTCACCACCAACACCCCGCCATCTCTCCTGCACACAACAACAAGTGAGCGCCAGATCCTATTGACCTCAGACTTATATCGCAGGTTACTGACCTTCTCCAGGTCTTTGTCGGAAAGCTAGGGAATGCGTACTTCTACGGCGGCACCGGAGCTGGGCAGACAGACATCCTCTACGGTTTTGGCACTACCTGGCTGTCGTCGACCGAACTCGTTCTTCCCAACTGTGGCGGCGGAATCACCGCTTAGATAGATACCAGCACTACTTTGGAGAACAAACGTGGCGTTCATGTCTATCAATCTTCACAGGAATATCTTCGCGCATACGTGCGAAGACGGCAGTAATTGTCTTGCGAGCTATCTCTTCTAGAACCCGCTTGTCAACCAGACGTTGCATGGAGACTATGAGAACTATGGCCCTGAATACAACGTCTCAGCAAGATTGGCCGGTGGATTTGATCGCATCTTGACGGCTGCGGAGTATCAGCCATACAGCTCTCCGGAAAAGATTTTCATGGCGCCGAGTAGGGCACCTGGTAGTGTTGCTTGGATTGATACGAATCCTGAAGGTTGAGACCAAGAGATGTATCATACACGAAGACGTTGAATTGGGCCAAGCTGTTCAGAGAACGAAAAGACTGAAGAAGTAAGTGAAGAACGTAACCCCGCCGGCGATGGCACTCTCATCAAGAATGATCTCTTTCTTTCCCTTCTTCTTTACAGACTGGAACGTCGTGGTGAGGTATGATGTATATGACATGTCGGTGTACATGGTGCAATTGGGGGCGTTGCTGTTGTTACCGATATCGCAGTAGTCTGGGTTCCGGAACGGAACCGACGTGATTGTGGCTCGATACCATGCGATGTTTCGAAAGTCGCCACATTTCGTAAAGTTGAGTTCCTGGAGGCCCCTCTCATCATCCTGGATGACCACTCGCTCGACGCTAATGTAATTGTTTGCTAGAGCTGGTGCGACGATCCAATTGACAAGCTCGCAGTCGTTCAAAATGTCGGTATCTACGATGCCGTCAGGTGTATTGCCGCTGAGCGGAAGTAGTCGAGGATCAAAGATTGCGTAAGACACGACGGCCATTCCCCACGGGTACTATTCCCTAGAACACCAGTTAGCACCGTACTGTGAAGTAATTCTTGGAAACGCGGGGGTCTCCATACATTGAACGTCGGAAGAGATCTCTACATAGTTCTCATATCCTTGTCCTTGAAGATTGATCGAGTTGTTCTCACCCGCATTGAACAGGTGATCATAGTGTAAATCATCGAACTGAATACCGATCACGTCTCCATCACAGTCAGTCGAGTCCGTAGCGCTGCTGCTGTAGAGGTCGCACGAGGGGTCTCCGCCCAGGGTAACCACTGGGTTTCCTGTGTTCTGTTTAATGTACAAGGCTGGCGGCGGCAGTCCTGGTACGAAGTCGTGACCGATGCGTGATCCGTAGGTCACATTAGTTGTAAAAGTCCAGGACCGATACTCTCTAAACGCAAATGCAGCGAAATAGAGAAATTGGCATAGAATGACGGGTAATAGGATCGCGAAAACAGCACCGATCCAGGAAGTCGTTTGGCCCCCTGTAGATGGTTAGGACATCAAAGAGGTTCGAAGCACCAATCGACGTTTCGTTCAAAACTTACAGGATGCCTCTCTCCAGGCTCTTCGTACTGCTGAACGATGGAGTATGACATAGCCTACGACTATAGCGATGACCAAGAAAAGAACCACAGCGGAAGGCAAAACGATCGGCAATAATGTCGGCAGATCTTGCAGAAACAGGATTTGTAACAAGTTGATGAGGATAAGAATCAAGTTAGCGATGACGAGGAGAAGGAGAGCTCTGTTCACGGCGTAATTAGTCGACGGCCATCTATCAGGAAGGAAGGTTCCGTCAATCACCTTGCCACGGTGAAGTCCCGGAATAATTCTGTCACGGGAATAGACGAGCGCTTGCGCGCCCTTGCATTCTTGCTTTCTTGAGTGCGTTCCTCCGCAGAGACGTTGGGGCTCTTCAGTAGGGTAGCGAGTTCAGTAGCTGGCTCATCTCGGCCCGCATCGGTAGGATCCTGGCGGGAATGCGCTGGTGCAGTAAACGCATTCTCAGGAGAGGTTGGAGAATAGAGCGACGAATCCTGCCTGTGATAGGCGGACCTCTTCGCGGGCGCCAAGTTGATGCTCTCGTGAGACATTTCCGACGCGATCTGGATTGGGAAGGGCGTTTAGTGCCCCGGCGACAACCGGGAATAGACGTGAGGGACCAGATGGGTGAAGAAGGTTATGCTTCAGGCGTGAGGGGCTTTTCACTCTTGTAGTGAGCTCTGCCCACTTCGCCCAGCCTTAATAGCGGCCATGTGGCGCGCAGGCATTCAACACTAGTCTTCATCATTGCAGACACCCCAGGAGTTGCATCGCGCAGTCGCTGGTCGAAACGCGCTAATGGACCCGTAAGCATTCTATGACCTGCAAGTCTGCCTTGCCAAGCTTGATATCGGCCCCCAAATGCAGAATAACGCGGTCGCTAATGTCAATGGCTCATGCAATTGGACGCCACAGCCCTGTTGTGTGCAGTCGCATTGCCCAATGAGAGTTGGTTCCGGTAGACGCTCAGCCTTGTTGGTGGTATAGCACAGCCTCTTCGAATCCTTCAGCAACTGTGGCATAGAGGTAGGGCTACATGGGACCGTCTCAGATGCTAACCCAACTAATCTGTAACGCGTCGTCTGCACTGTCCCTGTTCGGGGAGAGATTGTCGTGACCATCAACAAGCTAGGAAAGTGTGTGTGGGTGAGCAATCTATGAAGCGGCGTGGGGGCCGGTAGAGATAGAAATAGTAACACCGTAGCGGAGCACAAACTGCCGATTATGCAGAACGATCAGGGGTCGCGGAAGATACAAGCGCAAATACATATGAAAAGAACATAGAAGTGGAGAGCGAAGACAAACAGGTGTAAGGAAGAAGAAGAACCACAGGCAATCAGAGGAGCGGCAGGCGCGCTCCTCACCTCACCAGCGGAATCCAAGACAGATCTGATGGGAACATGCCTGTTTTCAACGCCAGAATCCCATCAGATCTGCGAGGGCTCGGCCGCTGCTCCCATCTCGATATAGTGCAAACCCCAACACAAAATAGGCAAGCTTCGCCCGCTACAAACACAGCTCAGCATGGGAAACAAGTCCTGACCAATCAACGCGCGGGAAGGCAAATCGATCACAAACGCATGCATTGTTCGATAAGCATAACAAGACAAAGCGATCGGTCCTTTGGAAAAGGCATCCTACTTTGCAGCGAGCATGCTCTGAACATCAGTGTCAGGCCTTCTCGTACACGCCTCCAGCTTGGAATTGTTGAAGACGAGAATTTCACTTCACATGCTCAAAGAACCACTTCTGGCCTGATGGCTGCATTTCCTTTTCTTTTGTCAGGGACCGGTATACCGTGGCTGCTTGTGGAACCTATGTGTTCAAATTTGTGGCTTCACGTAGTCATTCTCAATCAACGCCTTCATGAAATGACCGATAACTCTCACTCCGATGTCAGCAATCCTGTCTCCGTCTGATCCATCTCCTTGGTTGGGGTTGAAGGAGGCTACAGTGAGACTCGTCGGCGCTACCCTTTTCGGTATGAGACTCAAGCACTCCACCAAATCATCCGCGTGGATGCCGTCCGGAGCTTCGTAGCCGTTGACCTTGCCCTCGCTTTCGTCTAGAACGTCGAGATCAACATGGACCAAAGTCGGTTGATCGATCATATCCGTCCGCTTGTCCAGCAGAGCCCGCAGTTCCCTTGCAAAGTGAACGGGACCGTTGCGAGACGCATCTTCTCCGCCCCATACAACGTCAAACTTTGCATCTAGCACTCTTTTCCGTTGCACTTCGTTCTGGTCGCGTAGGCCACAATACACGAAACGGTCCAGGTTAAGCGGAACATGACCGGGTATCGTGTCCATGAAGCCCTTCCAACTCTGGCCCGCGAGCATAGACACACCCATAGCATCGAGATAACCACTCACGTTCGTGTCAGGAGTGTCGAAGTCATCATGAGCGTCCAGCCAGACGAATCCCAGATCCTTGATACCCAGCCCCGCCGCAACGGCCACGCTGCCCATGCAGTTCCCAGCCAACACCAGGGGAAAGCGTTGTTCTCCTTGGCCTTGGAAACGGCTTTCGAGATGCGGCGCAGGACCTCGAAGCTGCGTCCGATCTCGCCTTCAAACTCGTCCACAGACGGGATCTCTACGGTGGTGGTAGGAATATGAAGGCGATCGAGTTCCGCGTAGACGCCCTTTTGGCGCAGCCGGTTCGGTCCGTCGCCGACGCGGTGATTTCGCAGTCCGACATGGTAAGGTGAGGAAATGATGGTCACGGAGCTTGCTGGCATGATTGATCGGGTAACACAAGATCTCGTCCTGTCGTCTTTTGTCCGTTAAGGAAGGACAAACTCAATCAATGCCCAGGTTGTTAAAGTATGTGTAATCTGAGAGGGTTATGTTGGGCAATAGAGAACGCTTCAACAGCTGCGCAGCTGTTTATGTGGGCTGAGTGAATGTCATTGTAGGGCGTGACGACGAATGAGGGGACATAGCTCCGAAGGATCTGCTTCAGGCAAGAGGATCCGCGTGCGAGAGGAATCACCGAATCAGGACCGTAAGGGGCTCAAATTTTGTATAGAAGTCACCAAACTGGCAGAGAAAAGCATGACAAGGTGTCGATAGCGGCAGAAGTTATCGACTAGCCCAATGGAACGTGGAACTTGTCGATGTCGTATATGTGAATATAAGATTTTTTAATCATTTTCTCAATTCCATGTCGGTTCGGTGGTGTAGTTGGTTATCACACCAGTCTAACATGTTCCTTCTCATGGTCCACTGGTGGTCCCCGGTTCGAGCCCGGGCCGAATCATCTTTTGCCCCTTCCGAATCCGTCTTATTCGGGCAAGGTTCAACTGGTGTGTTTTTGAGCTCTGGCAACGCCTTTAGATGTCTCGTACATTGAAGCTTGTTCTGGACCTTACGGTGTGTCATTCGCAATGTCATAAACCAAGCATGCGCTTTTGCTCGATTTTCGTACAGGTGGGGTGAAGCATTATATCCCGGTATGATCAGAGCACAACGAATCCTGACCCGTCGAGGGTATATGTCGTTTCGTTTCGTATTTCAAAAGAGCTTTAGGCTCGGCATAGTTCATATAAATGCCCAAGGACAACTAGGCGACAGATTGACGTGATCCCTCATCCCGAATGCCATCATGATCCACGATTGCCCGGTTGTCCTTCCCGCTAAGAACCAAAGAATCAAGCGCCACGTCGCGCAGTCGTACTCATGAGCGTAATCTTCTTCCCTTTCTTCTTTCCTTTCCCTCCACCACCACCTCCTCCACCCCCAGTCCCGGAACCACCCAGGGGCAATGATGGCGCGTTGCTCGAGCTCCCCTCAGCATCGGCCAAGCTCGCCGCCTGCACTTGCTTGATCAACTCCTCCTCAGTCACGAGATCCTTCTCCCAGCCCTGCAACCAGCCATCGTCGACAGGCTCCTGCTGCGCCAGCGCTCGCAGCTCCGGGCTTGACAACGGCACGGCAGCCGTACCCCAAACGGTGCGGGCGGCGCTGGGACTCGTGCCCGGAGAGGCCAACGATCCATAACCGGTGCGGTTCGAGGTGCCCCACGGCGGACTGGAAGAAGTCCCGTGGTTGGAGAGATTGTCGTGGCCGTCGACTGAGCCGCCGGCGGCAGATTGCGAACCGAGGGGCGCGAAGTCATCGTGCGAGAAGTTAGAGTAGTTGTCGGGCTGAGATGAGGCAGTCAGGCTGGGCCGCTTACGTCTCGCGGCAAAGAACTCTCTATCCTCCGCCTTCTGCGCCTGGATCCGTTCCTTCTCCTCCCGTGCCTCTTTCTCAGTGTTTCTCTTCCTCCTCCTCTCGATCTCAGGCCTAAACCTCTCCAATACATGTGGGGGCACAGTATCGGTCCAGTCGCACTCGAGGAAGCCGACTTCGCAGCCGTAGGGCAGGTGAGCAAGGTACTTTGTGCGTCTGCGCAGATCGTCGTCGACGATGTGGCCGGTGCTGACGCGCTCGACGCGGGGAGGATGGACGAGGGGAACGAGGCGTAGGTGCCGAAGGCGGCTTTGAGGATGCGAATGTCGAGCGGTGAGAGGTAATAGTGCAGCAGGGCTTGGTAGAAGAGATATGAGTCGGGCTGGATTTGGGCATGTTGACGGGCTTTGAAGTCGGCGAGGGAGGTGGAGAGGACGCTTGCGGCGGGTTGGTGACTGGTCGAGCGGGAGAGTGGAGGTGGGACACCGTTGGGTGTGCTGATTGATGAGCCGTCGATTGGCGTCGGGAGAGTTGGTGGAGGAGATGCGACGGGCATGCACTGACCAGAACGTACGGCTTGCTGAATGGCGTACATGTCCGGCACGCCCTCCTCAGACGCGTTGAATTCGATCGGAGGTCTCTTCGGCTTCGTCTCTTCCACTGGCTTCTTTGGGATTGCTGGTGGATTACCGATCCCCTTGACCTTGTCCCTGGCTTCGTTGAGCATCCGGATAGCTTTGCCTGTCCATTCACTGTCCTCTCCAAACATGAGTTCATCTTCCTGTTCTGTTCGCTTGATGTCTTCAATGTAGCCGTCGATTTGTCCAAGCATGTACTCCTCGCCTCCTTTCATGACTCGAGCATAGTCCATGACTTCCGCAGCCAGATACCAAGGAACGTCCTCGCCCTTGGCCAAGGCATCAGTGCTCTCCTTGGGCATTGCAAGTGTGCTTCCGGTTCTCCTCTCAACGAGCCTGAGCACAACATCCATGCCTTCCCTTGGCGGCTCGCCTTCCTCTCCTGTGTACCAGCGGACGGGCCTCGTCTCGGAAATATAGATGCTGTCATAACAGATTGGGCATTTCTTCCACCTTGCTCGCTTCTCGGTAGGGTTGGAGCTGTCCTCCGAGTGCATGTACCGGATCAGGCAGGGAAGGCAAAAGATGTGGCCACACTTGGCCATGCGTGGAGCAACCGGCGTTCCTAGACATATGGGACAAGCAGCGGCCTGCGACTGCTCGGAAACAAGGATTTGCAAAACGTTGTTCCAGTCCAGGTGGACGTCGGCGTCGACACTCTGGGCGTGGTAGTCGGCTCTTGGGTCGACAATGAAGCGATAGTTCGCATGAACGTATCTACTGCCGTCAGCACCTTCCCACGGACTAGGTATGAGAGACCGACCTTGCTTTGTCTACGGCGTGATAGCCGGAACCCAGGCCCCACGTAGGGTTCCTCCGCGCATTCCTTCCGTGACCGCCGTATCTGTTGGTTTGCTGATACTGAGGACGTGGGGGAGGGCAAACTGCATCAGGTGGGTGATGGAGGTCTGACCCTTGCGGCTGTTGATGGAGTGCATGGCGCCCTGTAAGGCGCGAATTAGCCACGACGCGTCTCGAAGCGGTATTGCGGTGGGTTGCATACGGATTCAGCAAGAGCATCCTCATCCGCGAGCCTGAACTTCTTGGAGCCCTTGTGCTTGTTCTTGTTTGCCTGGTCTTTGCGTGGGGCGGGGCTTGCTCTGGAGGCTGCTCCTGCACCGAAGCTGCCAGAGCCGCCACTCCGGCTCTGTCCGAGACCCTGATTCTGGAAGAAGGCCGACGTCTGTGAATGAGCGGGAGAGAGCTGCGATGATGTGTTTGCTGGCTTAGATGAAGTGGCAGATTTGGCGGAGAGAGCGGATGGTGGGTTGGACGAAGACATATCCTTAGTGTAGGAGACGCCGGTGGAGCCCAGCTATGATGTAGTTGGCGAGGGCTGGTCGAAGGGAGTCGGCAGACGTCTACGAAAGAACAGCGACGCCGCGGTTGTCCAGCCTAGCAGAGACTATGTGAGCGATCGGTGTAGGGTGTAACAGCGGGTTGTCTGTCGTGTTGTAAAGATCAAGGACCGGGCCTCGCGGCTGGTGATTGAGGAGGAGCGAGAAAGGGAGAGAGGGAGAGAAGGAGAGAAGGACGGAGTCGCCGCCAGCAGAGAGTACAACGACGCGGGGCAGTTTATGATGCCAAGACCCGACCATCTCCCATATCTGGCATCTCCCATATCTCGCATCTCGCATCTCGCGTCTCGCATCTCGCATCTCGCATCATCCACTTCTACCTCGCCCCTTGTGCTTCGACGAAAGACGAAAGACGAGAGACGAGAGACGAAACATCCCACGCCGCCTGACAGCACACACGATACCGCCAACATGCTGATCGAAGAATCCTACAAAGACGTCCCCACCAAAGCGGGCGGGGACATGCGCGTCTTCATCTACCACCCAACCATTCCGAACTATCCAAAGGCAAAATTCCCCGGTGTAGTCGTCTTCAGTGAGATCTATCAGGGTAAGGCCCCATTTGTTCTTGTTGTACCTATAGCACCCCGTATCAATCACATTTCTCACACGACTTTCAATATTCTTGCTCTCCACCGATGCTCCTCTCCGTCAATCTAATCATGCAAACCATCCCCGATCCCCTCTGGTTCTCTGCCCCACCGTCCCAGATTCTTGCCTTTGCCCGTAGATCCTCACCGGTACTTGTGTGCCACCTACAATGACTGAAGAGACAATCTACTGGTCACTGCACGCGGCGAAAACCATCATCCTGACACCCCTCAGTAACCGGCCCCGTCTCGCGCTTCGCCCGCCAAATCGCCGGCCAAGGCTACGTAGTCGCCGCGCCCTCTTCCTACCACGAGTTCACAGGCCCTGAACCACTCGCCTACGACGGACCCGGCGTAAGTCCCTGTCAAATCCTTCCCTTATCTCTTCTTCCCTTCTCCGCTTCTTACTGAACATGATGCAGACGGACAAGGGCAACGAGTGGAAAGTCACCAAAGCGCTCTCCGCCTACGACGAAGACGCCCAACTATCCGTCTCCGTCTTGCTCGACCTCCCGACATGCAATGGCCGCGTCGGCGCCACGGGCATGTGTCTTGGGGGCCATTTGGCGTATCGGTGTGCGCTGGATAGACGCGTGAGCGCGGCTGTGTGCTATTTTGCGACGGATGTTCATAGCCATACGCTCGGCAAAGGTAAAAATGACGATTCGTTGCAGAGGGCTGGGGATATCAAAGGTGAACTGGTTATGGTGAGTTCCGAATCCGATCTCTAGCCCTCCAAACCGTCCCAGACGTTTCTCTATCGCATTGGAACCTGGACTCAGCGGGTACAAGCGTGATGATCGTCGAGTGGAGCCGACAGCGTTGTTCTTTCTTGGATATCGTGTCCGCTGACCGATATGGTTATGCGCTAGATCTTTGGAAAGAAGGATAACCATGTCCCGCCGGAGGGCCGAGACCTCATCCGCAAGACTCTGCACGAAGCCGGCGTCACGTTCAGTTTCTACGAAGCCGCTTGGGCGCAGCGTATGTATTCCCTTTCTCTTTGATCCCGCGCAGAGCTCTGCGCCCATATCTGCTTGGCTGCTGCGCAATGCAACCAGCGTGCTCTGTGGTCATGTTGCACAGAGCTCTACGGTTGTGTTTAGTGCAGGCAGTTTTAACCCTTCCACCCACTTCGTTTGTATTCCACTCTCAACCCTTTCTAACCGCGACAACGCGACAGACGCTTTCATCCGTGACGAACTCAGCAAAGGCCGCTACGACCCAGGTCTGACGAAAATCTGCTTCGAGATCCTGCTCGAGTTGTTCAACCGCACGCTGCGCTCTGATCTGGGGCCGAGAGAGGGTGGCGATCTGGAGGTTGAGGATATTTGTTGATGTGTTGGGGGATGTGGGACCGGGATGCTAACGAGGTTGAGGGAGGTTAATAAAGGGGAATAGATACTGAACAATGAGGAGCTCAGCTCAGCTCGGGATGTCCGCTGTGCAACACAACTGAGCGCCCGACGGCTACATTGGTGTTCTTAGGCGTGTTATCTT